AATACATCCCAAAAAATAAACAGTGGAGCAAAAACTCTTTATAACACCTGGAGAATCATGTCAGTGTTCCTAAAATGAGGCAAAAAAAAAAAAAGAGATGTCAAACCCTGCAGAATTTCACCCCACTTGTGAGTAATCCCAGTGATCCCAGTAAAAAAAACTCCTAAAGCAATGAGGGCACATTTTTGTCTGTGTTTGGTGACTTTGCTGACAGGAGTTCAAACTGAGGCCTTGCAGATTTAACCCAAGCTCAGCCCTTGCCACTGGTTTGTGTCAGGAGATTATTTACCTGCCTCGAGCTGTTTCTCTCTTTTGTTTGCATCCAAACAGGGGTTTGCTGGTGCAGATATTGGGACAGTGGAAAGTGGTGGCTTTAGGTGTTTATATCTGGATTTTTGAGGCTTTCCTCCCCTGTTCCTTCCCCAGAAATTTCTTATTATTCCTCCTCTCTTCTGCCTTTTCCCCTGCTGGCCACAAGCACTTGACTCTGTTTTTCAAGCCACCAGCAGAAAACTGATAAAAAACCTTCCAAATTCTGCTCCTGAAAAGAAATAATTGGAAATAAATAAATAAATAATCCTTTATATCCAGGGGGAGGAAAAAAGAAATGACCAAAAGCAGAGGAGGGATTCCAGTGAGGTTCCCATAACAGAACCCTCTGATGCAGCACTTTTGGGATGGCTGCAAAAACAGGAAGAGCAGAAGGAAACAGTTCATTTAGGTCAGGCACTTTTTTTTTTTTTTAGCTCAGTTCTTTAATCTGGGTCAATTTTTTGTGACAAAAAAAAGCCCGAAGGGTTTGAGTTTTGAAGCGAAACGTTGGGGTGTTGGTTGAAGAGGTTTCCTGTTCTCTCCTGGGCTGGGCTGACTGACAGCCCCAATTCCCAGGCACGGGGGGAATCCCATTCCCAGGCATTCCCAGCTTTGGGGGAATTTTCTCCTGGGAATTTGTTTTAATGATTATTTTCGTGAGGGTTCTGAGAGACCACGAGGAGCCAGAGCTCCCTGCTGATGGAAAACGAGCACCAGCAGCTCCAGGCTGCTGCTCTGTTCCTCCTGCTCTGCTATCCCAGGGTGATTTTGCAGGAATTCCATTCCCAGCCTCTCAGTCCTGACTCAGTAAGTGGTTCAGACTCGAGGCAAGGGTTTAGGTTGGCAACAGGTAATTTTTTTCTTTCAGAAACATTGAAAATTTGAGGTGTTTTCTGGCACTGCTGGGTAGGGGGGGACTCGTGGAAGTGCTGGGAACCTGAAGCTTTTCACTTTGGCTTCCAGAAAAGCAGGAAGAGAAGGAGTGTAGATGGAAAATATAAACTGTGGCCTGGAGGTCCCTCAGGGGGGGACAAATCTCATCCATTAGAAAGCAAATGATGCCCAAACACCAGTGCCACGAGTTTTCCAAGGGCCTGATCTTACAGTAACCACAGGGCAGCTTTAAAACAAAAACTTGAGCCCGGCACTGAGGGTGGCACAGCTCCCCCAGCCAGTCTCAGATACCCTCCTTGGGGCACAAACTGGGAAACAATTCAGTTTATTCCTCTCCTCTGAGCTATGCCAGCCACGCTGAGGGCACATTTTGCCCCAGATGGACGGTGAGGCTGCAGGAACAGCTGATGTGCTCCCAGCTCAACACGGCACTCTGTGGTTTGTGCAGCGTTGCCAGCACCCCTTGCCCAATTTTTTGGGGGGGATTCACAGCTTCTCTCTGGTGGGTGGGAGGAGAGCACTTCATCCTCCTGCTGGAGCATCACAGAGACCCACGTGGCACAACCCATTCCTTGAAAATTCGGGGTGGTTCGACCTCACCAGAGCTTGTTCCCATGTCCTATTTCCAGCTGAGTGTTGCCAAGTGGGAGACTGGCAGGGCAGGCTGTGTGTGGAAACACTCAGGCTTTTCTCTTGCATCATCTGCCATCCAGGAGGTGACAAAACCGGCCCAAGTGTGTGGCTTGTCACATAGTTATGCCCCAGCAGATGACTGAGGGGAGGGGGATCAGCATAGCTGGCATTTGCTGGGCTGCCTGCCCAGGGCTGCCTGGGCACTCACAGCACATGCCCTGCCTGTCCATCCCAGCCCTGGGCCCCAGGAAAAGAGGAATAAAATGCAACAGGAATCACAGAATCAAAGAATCACACGATGGTTTTGGGCTGGAAGGGACCCTAAAGATCATTTATTTTCAGGTGTCATTGTCATTCCCTTGTCACAGGGTTGGCATTCAGGTCGCTCGGGGCCCAAATAGTGATTTAAGGCTCTGAATCTGCCTTCTGAGCAGGCAGGGATTAGAGTTCCTGCAGGAGGAGTCTTTTTTCTGGATGCCAGGGCAAAGGGGAAGGAATAAAGAGGTTTGATTTTTTTCCTGCCACAGTAGAGATCTCGCCTTTGGACACACCGAAATACATCCCTGGTGGCCTCATCTCCAGTCCCTGAGGGCACTTAAAAACCTTCCAACACATCCTTCATCCTTCCTCCTGAGGGGCAGCTCCGACCTCTGGGAACAGGGACAGGACCCAGGGAAGGGCTGGAGCTGGGACAGGGCAGGCTCAGGGGGGATCTCAGGACAAGGTTCTTCCCCCAGATGGTGGTGGGCACTGCCCAGGCTCCCCAGGGCAGTGGGCACGGCCCCAAGGCTGCCAGAGCTCCAGGAGGGTTTGGACAACGCTCTGAGGGACAGGGGGGAGTGTTGGGGTGTCCTGGGCAGGAATTGGACTTGGATGATCCTTGTGGGTCTTTCCAGCTCAGGATATTCCATGATTCTATGATCCTATGGTCCTGTTTTTGGGGCAGAGCAGATGTACAGTCACAGGTGACTCAGCACATTGTGCATCTCCTCATTTAAAACCTTTATTTATGGTGACAGACGCGTCTGAAATTTGGGGCTTTGACTCCCACCCGGGTGAACGTTCCACAAGGTCCTGGAGTTCCGTGCCCGGAGCAGCCAAGTTAAACTTCCATCCCCGGCTTTCTGGGTCGGTAACTCGGAGAAAAGCGAAGCCAAAATTAAGGTCCCACCAACCCGAGCTCCCTCTGCCGGTCCCGGCCCCGCAGCGCCCGCCCCAGGGCACGAATCCTGCCGGGAGCTGCGCCGGGAACCGGGATGCGCATTCCAGGTGGGATCCTCCGGCACCATCCCGGCTCCAGGCGAGCAGCCCAGGGGAGCCGGCGCCGCTGGCAGGTGGATGCTCCTTGGATTGTTTACACGGGAGTGGAAAGATTCCAGCTCCGGGAGCGGGAAGAGGTTTTATCCCGGCCCAGCCAAAAAACCTGGCGGCTCGTTGTGGTAGGAAAGCCGGGAAGCAGGAAAAAAAACCTGATTCGGGATTAAGCCAAGCTCAGAGCGTGGTTGTGGAGTGCCCTAAACTCCCTGTTCTTGCTGCTCAGAGTTGCTCTGTTTGTTGTTCTTTTTTTTTTTTCCCAGGAAATTAATTTGGGAAAAATTCCCGATTTCCCAGGTAATACGTGTGGCTGGAACTGCCAAATCCTTTGGTGTCACGAGAAGTTCTTTTGGGATTGTTCAACCTGGAGGAGAGAAGGTTCTGGGGAGACCTCGGAGCACCTTCCAGGGCTTAAAGGGGCTCCAGGAGAGCTGGAGAGGGACTGGGGACAAGGGATGGAGGGACAGGACACAGGGAAAGGCTTCCAACTGACAGAGAGTAAGGATAGATGGGATTTTGGGAAGGAATTCCTGGCTGGGAAGGCCCTGGGATAGAATTCCCAGAGAAGCTGTGGCTGCCCCTGGATTCCTGGAAGTGTCCAAGGCCAGGTTGGAGCAACCTGGGTTGGTGGAAGGTGTCCCTGCCCATGGCAGGGGGTTGGAATGGGATGATCTTTAATGTCCCTTCCATCCCAAACCATCCTGGGAATCTACAAGCTCCTGCTTTGGCAAATTACCTTTTTTTTGAGGAAAATCTACTCTACACACCCACACACAGAGCTCCCTGTTAGGTCTAAAAGGACATCAAGATGCCTTGGTGGACAACATTTGCTCTTGAAAAGCAGGAAGTGTCAGGAAAAGAGACATTCTAAAAAATCAAAATACATTAAACACCTGATTTTATCCAGGGATTCCTGCTCCATGGAGTAGGAAGTGGATTTTCTCCCTTCTTTTTGCATTGACACAGCCAGAGCCAGAACTGCCATTTAATTATTAGATTTGGGCCTTTTGTTTTTAATTTGTTTTTCCTTCTCTTGGGAAGGGAGAAGGAAAAGGAAGACCAATTGTAGTGCTAAAGAAGAACTATTGGATTAGACCCTATGGAAGTAACTAACTGTGACCTTCAGGAATTCCTTAGAAAGTGCCATCATAGAGATTCAAAATAATGTTGGGTCTTTTTTTATCTCCCCTCACAGCTTATTTTTCTTTTTTTTGCTCATATTTTTTTTTTTTAAAAATATCTTTTTACAGCTTTCTCTCCCAGGCAGTGGTCTTCCCTCCAGCTGATCCCTAATGTTTTACAGGATGAGTTGCACATCCTGCCTAATACCCAGGTTTGAATTACTATGGACTAAGCAGCAATGGAAACCCTCTATCAAAATAATCAGGAGTTCCAAAAACCACAAACAACCAAACAAATGGAGCTGAACTCACTCAGCAAAAGTCCATTTGGGAGCATCAGGGCTGGTGAGTCACTTTGCTTTTCCCTCCCTCAGCAGACTCCCATCCCTGCCTTGCAGCAGCCCCGGGGAGGGCAGGTGGAGTGGGTAGGGCATGACTTCTTCCCTGTCTTTTCTTCCCTTTTTTTTGCAAGTTAGTAAAAAAAAAATAAAAAAAAATTAAAAAAAAAAAGGGGGGGGGAGAAGGAAAAGAAAAAAAGAAAAAGAAACTCGACATCACTCCCGTCACGTGACCCGGAGGGACCAATGGAGGCAGGTCGTGGCAAAAAGGGGAACAGTTAAATTTGTAATTTTGGTCGTGTGAAACACTCTTTTGGGCCCTCATAAACAACCACAGAACCACAAGTTGGGTGCTGAGGCAGTCACACGAGAGCGGGTCCGGGAGATTGGTCAGCGAAGGGAGGGCGAAGCCGCTGCGACTGCAAACCACAGAGGGTTTCGTAGGGTGGTAAGCATCAGCAACCACAACCAAGCCACTCTCCTTTTTTTTTTTTTTTTCCTTTTTTTTTTTTTTTTTTTTTGTGGTTAAGAAACGATTTCACAGAGTTTCTTTCAGCAAAAAAAAAAAAAAGAACCTCCTCAATCCGCCCTCGTGCCGGGATAACGCCGGCGATGGCCGGGAGGAGGGTGGTGGTGGCAACAATGACCAACCTTCATTTTTCACTCCCCAAGGTGGAAGAAATCATAGATCCCTTCCCAGGAAAGAGAGAGTGAGTTTTTTAAAGAGGAAACAATGGCTTCGAACAGCATATTTGAGTCACTTCCTTCTTACCAGCACTTCTTGAGAGGTAAGTGCCATTCAGAATTTTCTAACTATGCTTTTGGCTTTCCCATGCACCGGAGAAAATGCACGTTTGGAGAGTTGTCTGGGTTTTTTTTTTTGCTTTTTCCCACTTCAGTTTGGCTTTGAGGCTCTCTCCTGGAGGTCACCACCGAGCTTGCAGGGCTATCACCTCGTTACTAATCGGAGAGATTATAACGAGGGCTCGTCGAGGCTGCTCGAACGTGCTGGTGAATTTGCTCCTCATAAATCAGAGTGTGCTGGAATGGCTCGTGTGAACGGCTGCAGACACAACGCTGGCAGCACAAACCACCCTTTCCCGATCCTTTTATATTTTTTTGGGCAGGATTCTGACTTTTTTGAGCCACTGCCCTGACAAAGTGACAGCCAGCAGCCAACGACATGTATGGCAGGCAGGGAGCAGCCGGTGCCCGGAGCCAGCAGGGCGTGATGCTGCCTCACTTAGGCTGGACTTTAAGCCTGACTAAAGGCATGTCCACCAGGGGAGAGCCGGGCAAAGCTCAGAAACCTGCTTAAAAGTTTGCTGCGGCTCGCGTGGCCGGGGCGAAGTGAGGGTTTGATGCCACGCTGGGCTCCGAGGGGGGAACCGGGGGAATCTTGGAGGGGGGAAACAGCTCTGGAAAAGGGCTGAGGGGGGATTTGAAAGGCTTCACCCGCCGCCTGCCCTTCTTAAAGCAGCGCCCCAGTGCCGTTCTCAGAGCCCCCCTCGGAGCCGCCGGGTTAGTCACGGCTTATTCACCCCTTATTCACCCCGCTGAGCGCGGCCACTGGCCCGAGGAGCTCTCCTGCCCCCTCAAAACCGCCTTCCCAAATATTTTCACTCCCCGGCTGAACTTTTCCCCTCTCCCCTGCCCTCCCCATCCCTCCGCACAGCCCGCGAGGGTGGCACAGGGCTCGTCCAGGGAGCAGCACTTTATAGTCCCAGACTTATTTCCCGGCCTCGCTGGCGGGGTCGGGATGAGTCAGGAGTTTATCCCTGTTCACGAGCGGGTTTGGGAATGCGGAAGGCTCGTCCCAACCGGCAGCGGCTCGGATGGCACCCGGCGGGGACGCGGGCACGGGGCAGGATGCCCAAATGTTTTAACAGCTCTCCTGCCTCGCTCCGGCTCTTTTTTTTCCTCCCTCCCCCCCCCCCCGTGTCAAAAGTTGTTCTACATCTGTGTTTCCTGGCACTGGGAAGGGCAGAGAGAGCCGTGGGTGAGTCAGCGGAGCTCGCAGCACCTTCTCGCCCGGGCGGGGGAGATGCTTGAAGGGCTGAGCGAGACGTGGCCAAACTGCTCCGGCAGCTGCCATCGCTCGGCACCCCGAGCGGGCAGAGGAAGCAATACTGCTAAAATAACAAGGAGGATCTTCCTGCCACTCGTCAGCCTTTTATTTATTTATTTATTTATTTATTTATTCATTTGAATTATTTTTTTTTAGCTCGTGCGACAGTCGCTCGGTGTTTAATCTGTAGCACAGGAAGGCTCCGGCGCTGGGGGAAGGGGGGGGGGGGGGGGGGGGG